GCCCCAAAGGAAACCCCAAAGATGCATTCAGCAGGGAAATCCAGCATAGAGGAGCAGTTAGCACAGTATAGACTCAGGAAGAAGAAGGAAGAGACACACAAAAGCGTTAAAAAGCGGTTCTGGGAGTTGATATGGTCAGCGATGTCTGTTATGAGGAGTAGTAGCACAGCTTCCGAGTCTGAGAGCAGTTCGAGTGCGGATGAGCAACAACCCAAAGAGCATTCCGATGCGAAGGTGAATATTGTGGCTTTTAATCTGTCAGTCTATTTGTCTTTCTATGTATCTATCTCTCTATATATCTCCATCCATCTATTTATATTTATATCTGTCCATATCTTTATCTTTATTTTTATCTCTACCAATATCTATATCTGTATCTACATTTACATCTATCTATAATATATTTATTTTTATGAAAACGTAAAGCTTGTCATTGACAATTAAAATAATATCTCATAAGAGTGTAATGTACATGTTAAGCTAGGTGTGGGGTAGGATTTAAAGCTATGATATGAAAGTGGCTGTAGCAGGATCATCTTATTAGAGAGAATGGAACAAGGTATATAAAAGGAAACCGTTAAGTAATATTTTATTTTTCATTTTCATTTTTAGATGAATGAATGTGAAGGTGAGGTGTTCAAGTTGTCAGTTCTTAGAATCATCTGATGGCCTATTACACCGAACCCAAGTGATAAGAATCTTGTGATGTGTGAGGCGCAGGTAGTTAGATATTGCTTTAGAAGCCACTAAGAATTTTTATACGATAAATTTTAAGATTCACTTTTAACTAATGCCATGTTACATAGTTGTCTTCAGTGTTCAAATTATCTTTGGCTCTCGTTGATAAGAATTATTGTTACAATAAAAAGTATAGTTAGCCATTATTTTATTTGAAGTGTTTGTTTTTCCAGCATGAGTAGTTGCTGTATCATCATTTGGTTGTCAATATTCTGTTTTATATTCTTACTGATTTTTTTTCAGCACAAGCTCCATATTCATTTGTTGCATAGATATTGTAAGCTTATATTGAAACTTGGCAAACTATTGCCCTGTTATATGCCATTCAGGTAGACGCTAAAATACTTTTACAATTCCAGAAATATTTAGTTCCGTGATAGTATAGTTTTTCTTTTACTACAAATTATTGGTTAATTCATCACCAAGTGTAGGGCTATTTATTAGCTTGAACTCTCCTATTGTAAGGTTAGGTTTTTTATAGGGTGACATAAACCTAAAAATAAGAGCTTATTTATATATATATATATATATATATATATATATATATATATATATATATATATATATATATATATATATATATATATATATATATATATATATATATATATATATATATATATATATATATATATATATATATATATATATATATATATATATATATATTATATATGTATGTATGTATGTATGTATGTATGTATGTATGTATATATTTTTAGCCATCATTACGTGTACAGCAGCCATATCTGATTTCACAGTTCGGTGTACATCACACACATGCATATGAGCATATGAACATTATTTTCTGGTAATAAGTACTAACACTAACCTAACCTAATTGAGAGTGGTATCATCTTGTTTTGAGACGACTGCCACCTTGTTTGTTTCTTTTTTTTTTTTTTTTTTTTTTTTGTTTTTTTTTTTTACCTCACTCCTGAATTTTGGTTTAAATGCTTAAAAGGTTGGATATTATTGTATTTCTTATTATTTTCTATTTGAAGTTTAAAGGTTTAGTCTATTGTTCTTTGGTTGCGTTTAGAAATGTTATATTTTCAGTGCTCAGTTGACTTAAAATGTTTACAATTATATATATTTTTGATGTATAACTTTCGGTATATTTTATGCATTTTTTACAGGTTTTTTCATGAATTACCAGTTTTTATCTGGGATTTAGGATTTGTAACGTTATTAATTTGGTAGAAAAAGACCTTATCAGATTTATGCCTTTTTGTAAGTTCATATGAAAGAATAAAATAAGATAGAAGCATAAGTTTTCCTTTATATATATTTAGGTAGGAGGAGGTCACAGAAATTATTAGGGGACCAGTAGGCTGCAACCTTGATTCTAACAATTACAATTATTCTTTAACTGTATACTTTTAGTAATACAGACTCTTAGACAAGATCATCAAATATTTTATTTTTCATATTTTTACCTTTATAATTTTATTATATTGCAATCATTATTATTATGATAATTATTAGTAGTAGCTTTCATACATCTTCATTACTGTTATATGTACTACTTTTTTATTTTCTCTTGCTTCTTGGGAGGCATTGTAATTTAATTGTTAATTTGATAGTTGAAGTATCTATAAACAAATACATATCTGTATTGGTCTGTTCGCATATATCCAAATAGGTTTAACAAATTTGTGGTCTTATTTTAGAGAATCACAATATGTAATATGTATGTCAAAAGGAATAGGTAGTATTTCAATTACTTTGGGATTTTTTTTCACAATTGTTTTCACAACTCAGTTTTAAAGCTGCTTGCTGATGCAGCAGTTTGTTTACCAAAGGAAAGTCTTACATAATAGATGTGCAAATAACTTTTAGATGAAAATTAGCTGTACTTCTTTGCAGACACTATAAATTTAGTCATTGCATTTTGTCTGCTATGTATGTGTAAAAAAACTAACAGAGATTTTCATCACCACAGGAAGTTCGCAAGAGATTAACAGTCACGAGAGAGTCCTCCTCAGGCACCAGTGTAGATCATAGCGATGCAGACAGTGCAGGAAACTCTTCACAACTGTCCTTTAGTTCTTACACAAAGCTGGACTGGATTGCTTTAGGACTGAAATGTGCCTTATGGTTGATTCTAGTCAAGATCTTCATATTACTTGAATTTGGAGCAGTGTTTTTTATCTTCAGTGCCTTCGCTTTTATATGGTAGGTTTTAGAAGGGTGATTATCTGCTTTATATGTAGAACATAGGGTAAATATCCACAGGTAAAGAAGAGAAGTCTGATTTCTTTATTTGGGGTTCTTAAGGTAAAGGATGTGTATGCATGGTGGTGTTTGTTCAATGGAAATTAAGTGTTTTATGTTATTGAAAAGAGCAGGGTAGCTACCTACCATGTGTAAAGGTAAGGTCGTTATTTTTGTGCATGTACTTTCAGCTGCAACCTTGGCACATACACTTGAACAAACAAGAAGTTGGAGAAAAGAATTGAAAACACTGTTAAAGACAAGATGTTAAGCTTACCTTTATACCAAACCCAGAGAGAAAGTGTTTTATGGGCTTAGATACTTTTTTTCTCCTTATTTTTGAATTAATGTAGTATGTAATTTTCAAGTATAAATACTTAGTGCTAATTGGAAAATAGTTCACTATACTTGGATTAACAATTGGAAACTGCAATGAAGTTTTCATGTTTGAAGAATCTTGTTAGTTGAAACTGTTAAGCATTAAGTATTTAACTTCACTGCATGCGGATAAGAAACCTAATAATAAAATTATTATTAAGAAAGATTACTGGATTTTAGTTTAGAACTGCAACATATTAAGCCAATGAAAGTTAACTACAATATAACTCTTTGTTTTATACTAGTTAGCAAAGGTAACATATGTCCAGAAAAAATATATTAATGATCGTTTATTACATACAATATTTGCAGTCTTGTTTATTACTTGAAAAATTCTTATATCCAGCTTTAATTTTTGTCAATATATACTGGCTATAGTGTTTGTATGGAAGAATGGTTACCTTTTTCCTTCTAAATCACCGAGACAGTTTACCTCTGTTAGTCCAGCTATTTTTAATACTACTAATGATTTGCCATTCACTACTCATAAGGTGTAGTAGCATGTAAGTATGCATTTATAGTTTTGTAATCACTATTATACTGTTTTTCAGGTACAACATGAGATCCGAGCCCAAGAAAAAGGGGGAAATTAGTGCCTACTCTGTCTTTAACCCCAACTGTGAGACAATAGATGGAACGCTGTCTGCAGAACAATTTGAACGGGAAATTTTACATAAGATGTAAACAGAGGCAAATTGCAAGATACGTTCCAAGAAATTTAAAACAAACTATTTTGTTGGAAGTGAAATATATTTATCCATCTTTACTGTTATTTTGATTTCCATTGCATGTATTTTAGGATGATAAAAACTTGGATAATTTTGTACATCAGTTTTACAGATATTAGAAGAGGCACAGAGCTTGTTATGAGCTCCATTCCAGGAATTCCATAGTTAGTGTTTTGTTGGTAGTGAAATAGCTCATCACATTTTCAGCCCTTGGATCATCACTTTATATTTTAGTTGATTTAGGATTTCATTAATGAATATAAATTTACTTTACATTTCACTTATTGTTATTTTACTGTGAGGTTTATTTCACCATACTCTGCTTTTGTTGTACTGTTTTCTGTCAAACTATTGCAGAATTATGATACGGCAGTGTTTTTGTTTCCTTGAGTTGTTACAAAGAAAATTTTAGATTATTTTCAAAGTTTGTATCTTTTGGATTTATTGCATGGGTACTACATTCTTTGTTGTTTTGGTTTTCTATATATATTTTCAAACAGAGTATTATGCCATATAAATTTGATACAAGCAGTACAATCTTTTTGAAAATATGGAAATTTTTTATTATATGATATTGTTAGTAACCAGTATTTCTTGATGTGATACATTCATATTTTTAAACCCCAATTGCTGCTGAAGATAAGACTGGGTAAGGGCATCATGGCCAAAGGCATTTACGTTCGAAAATAAGAAAAGTAAGGAGTGAACCTTTGGTCTATTTTTGCTCCTGATGTAGGCCGAGAACTCATTGAACACCCACCATATGTTTTTATTCTGGACTGCACAAAAACCCAACTCTTCTGTAATATCACATTTATTTACAATTTGACTGACATGCTCATTATCTCTCCATCTCCAAAGCATATCTTAAGAATCATGATCCTATCACTGTTTAATAGTGAAATTATTACAGATATTGTTACAACTATAAAGTAACTC